AAGGTGATTACTTCCAAGACGCCAAGAAAAGCAGTGCGAAGTATGTGAGCTCGATTGTGCCTGGCACTGGCTTTTTCGGACCCAGGCAATAAATTGATTGAACGCGGATACCTCGATGCAAGGTGACTCTGTATTGCGTGGATCCGTGAGCATTAAATTGCAATGCGCATTGCGCATTATGAAAGCGTTTTTGAGATTTTTTGAACATACCGACACAGCAAAACCATTGATCTTCGGTAGAAGAAGCGGATGCAGTGATCGTTCGGGATTGCCGTGCGAAGAATGCGCTTCACGTGATGTTGAAATCAAAACGCGGTTACGGCGTGTTGAACTTTCCAACTTTGTGAACAGTCAAACGAACGGTCAGTCAGTGACCATCCTGAAGATCCCTCTGGCGTTAGGCCTAATTTCAGCAAAAATATGTATCAAGCTCAACAATTTCAGCGAATTCCGCAGGGTATTCCACAACAACAGGCCCCTCAACGAAGGCATCCATTAACCAACACCGCCATCACCAATGTCAACCATCGCCAGCAGCAGCAAACCCCACCCCCAAAGCCGCCTACCAAGGCGCCATCGTCGCCACCTCTGCCAAGGCAAAATAGCAAGACTACACCACCTTCGCCCCCGAAGATTATTACCGACAAGAATGGAAGAGTCCAATTCAACCGGGTTGGTTTCTTAGGCGAGGTAAGATATTTAAACAGCCTGAGTCGGTTCAATATCAAATGAATCCTTGTTTAGGGTGGTTTCGCCCGCGTTTACGAAGTAAAAGACGCTAGGGGCTCCCGTTTAGCATGTAAGGTAGTCACTAAAGACTCGCTCAAGACCAAGAAGGCTAAAACAAAGGTAAGCATATCGATACCACCTCCCTTTATGATATGCCCGCGGAAGCCATTTGACTCTGAGGCGTCTTGCTCTCGATTCACTCTGGTCGGCGATTTCCTTGTTTCTCCTGATTTCGCCTCATGTTCTTCCACTTTGCGCCACTTAGGACCCTGAATACTGACCATCAACCCCAACCAACAGCTCTACGCAGAAATCAAAATCCACCGATCGCTACAACACCCTAACATTGTCCGCTTCGAAGACTGTTTCGAAGACTCGGATAATGTCTACATGACTCTTGAGCTGTGCCCATCCGGCTCTCTCATGGATATGCTCCGTCGGCGGAGACGCTTTACCGAACCTGAAGCCCGTTTCTTCATGGTGCAGCTCATTGGCGCGTGCTATTACATGCATACGCATCAGGTTATCCATCGTGACTTGAAATTAGGCAACCTGTTTCTTGATGCGAATATGAACGTCAAAGTTGGCGATTTCGGTCTGGCGGCTCTGATTGAGAACCCTGGCGAACGTAAGAAGACCATTTGTGGAACGCCAAACTATATCGCCCCGGAGGTACTTTTTGATACCGCCAACGGACACAGTTTTGAGGTAGACACCTGGTCGATTGGTGTTATTCTGTATACCCTCGTCGTCGGTCGTCCTCCTTTCCAAACTAAGGATGTGAAGGCAATTTATAAGTATGTTCTTCTTCATCTTCTTCGGCAGACAAGAACTCACGGAGGTATATTTGCTCAGGCGTATCCGCGATAACGAATACGAGTTCCCAGCCGACCGCGCCATCTCCTCGGCTGCTCAGCACCTAATTCAACAGATCCTCACACCCAACCCTTCAGAACGGCCATCTCTCCACGAAATTATTGAACATCCTTTCTTCACCCAAGGAACTGTCCCATCTTACATCCCCACCTCCGCGCACGACGGTCCACCCGATTTCCGTCACATTTCACGTTCTCAGTCTGAAATTAATCTCCAGCGTCTCCGCAAGTACGCCAACCTCGATGTGGACTACAGTCAACTTCCTGCTTCCCAACCCACTCCTGAGCCTTCATCGTCCAACAATGCACCGACCAACCCACTTGCGAACTCGAAAAATATTGCTTCGACTGTTGCCCAGCAAGAGAAGGAATTCCAGAAAGCTGTTCAACCTGGATCACCCATATCTGCTCTGTTGAGCTCGGCCAGACAGCCGTTGATGATGGCCAATCCTACGAGCGGTCCAGGTGGCAATGGCGTACGAGAGTCGCCTCTTTTGAGAAAGCTTCAGGCTGTCAAGGAGAGTCCTCTCGGGAGACGAAGCGTTACCCGAGGCTTAGATGGTATTGTTGAAGAGAAAGATGGCAAAGAGAATCCAGCAAGCACAAGGCGCAGACCAATGCTTTCAAGCGACGATGATCCGGAAGAGGAAGAGCTTAGGCTGAGGAAGAAAGAGCTCGAAGCTCAAAAAGCTAGGATTGTCGCTCAAATGGCACCTGTCAAAGAGGACGCTGAAGGCGAAGTTGAAAGGGATATGGATGATGATGATGATGACGAGCTAGCTGCACCCGTAGTTCCTTTGAAGCCGACAGTCAAGATTGTCAAGGACAGACATGGTATGCTTGGTGATAGAGAGAATGTTGCTCCTGCGTCAACCAAGTATGGAAGCTTAAGAGGTCGTTCAGAACAGCTACCATTGCAGAGGGGCCATCTGAATAAGGAAAACGTGCAGCTCGGTAAGTGAACGTCAACTCCAACCCTCAGTAACAGTACTGACTATGCCCTCCAGCTAACGTGTACGTTCCTCCAGCACCAGCAGCGCCTGTTCCTCCACCCAAGCTCAATGGATTTGACGCTGCTGCTCAAACTCTTTGCGCTGCGTTCGACGCCCATGCTGCTGGTCGTCTCTATCGAGATCCTCACTTTGGATCGACACTCGCTGAACTACCAGACGAAAAGGTCTTCATCGTCAGCTGGGTTGATTACTGCAACAAGTATGGCATGGGCTATGCGCTCACGGATGGCAGTGTTGGTGTTCACTTCAACGATAGCACCACTTTGGTCCTCAGTCCCGACAAAGTGTAAGTTTCTTTGTTACTTTTTCTTGAGCTATGCGCTGATAATTCTTCGGATCGATAGGCACTTTGATTACATTTCATCTCGCCGCCAGGGTTCAGTCTACGTCCGGAAAGGTTACACTGTCCAGACTTATCCCGAAGACTTGAAGAGCAAGGTGTATCTCCTTAAACACTTTGAGCATTATATCATGGAAAGATTGTACGGCGATTATGAGTACACCTTTGAAGATACAGGCAGAGAGAAGGGTATGGAGTGGGTGCAGAAGTATCTCAGGATGAAGCATGTTATTGTCTTCAAGCTGAGTCACGATGTCCTTCAGGTAAGTTGTCGACATGCTTTCATATTTCCCTTTCGTGCCCTGTGTGCCCCTTTTGGGGTCTTTCGCGGACGGCGGTCCACCTAGCTTGTTGTCTCCTGTTTGGACTCTTCTTTGATCCGCCATACTGATACCCTTCTCTTTTCGACAGTTCAACTTCTACGACCATTCAAAGCTCATTCTCTCCTCACATGGCAATCTCATCACTCATATCGACAAGCACTACAAAATGACTCGGTGGTCACTCTCCGAGGTGTTAGCACAGTCGCTTCAACCGCCCAGGCACGGTGACCCCGAGGGTAACAAATTCCTCTCCAAATTGATGGACAAGCTCAAGTACTGCAAGGAGGTGTTGGTTAGCATTCGTAACGCCAGTGCTAATGGTGGATCAGTAGCCAATGCCGAAGAACCCGAGTTGGTTGTTGGTTCTGGGATGGCCGGTGTAGGACTCAGTGGCGCACAAAAAGGATCTCTTGGCGCGTCAGCTAAGAACGCTCTTCGCTAATGTCCACGTTCTTTCGGTGCTGCGAAGATGAGGAGTATAGACTCTTCGTCTTCGATCTAGTGTGGTCGGACGAAGGTCGAGTACATAGGTGCTCGACGCTCTTCTTCCAGCCTGATGACGGCTATGATTTACGCTTTCTTCGTTTGTTCTGCTTTGTTTGACTAGAATCGGCCGCTACTTCATTGTTATTCTGTCTCGCTCGCGTTATTTTTTGTTATCTCAGAGTTGCTATCTTCTTCGAAGGTCGAGGATAGTGTCTCCATTTACATCTTTTTATTACTTGGTATACCCCCCTTCATATCCTGTACACACAAGTATTTTCTCGCTTTTATGGATACAACAATGCTATAATAATGAATACGACCCCGCGCTTGGACTGATGACCTCTGCATGCTGCATATGAAGTTACGCCTATGCGAGAGTGGTGCGTAGAGCTAACATGACCTTCTCAAGCACACACTAATTGATCGTTTGGAAACGCATTGGCCTTGATCTTGATCTACTGAACGACTCGTTGGTTACTGCTTGGCGTGCTCTGCTTTTAATTCTTGGTTCTTCAAGCCCTGTAATATTGCAGTGCCAGATAATTGTCAATTCAGCGATAATAAAGTCAGTGCATTGACTACTGGTGCTCACGTCCTTGCTCGTCTATGACAAAGGAAATGCTGTTTCTGACCAATCTGGCATCGACGACTCTCGATGGGCTTGTCGAGGTATAAAAGAAGAGCGTCTGCAGCCTCGAAACCCAAGGACTTTCCTCTCGTTCGTCTCGTTCTACTCAATATCAGCCACCCCAAGACACCGTTAAGGATGACGTGCAACTCAAGATAGCAGCTGACAAGCGCTTCTCGGTCCCAATGTAACAACAAGCAGAAGCTTCATGTAAAGCTCGGCAAACAGTGCGTTTAATCCCTTGCAGGAAGAGATTTCGACCAATGATCTCGATTTCAATGACCTGTTTTGCTCGACCGTTGACTCATTGCTCATTGAGTTAACCAGCACAATATAAGGCGTTGTAAGGACCATCCTTACAACTCCCCCTCTACCGTGGATTGCTCCCAGGTGTATCAACTCCCCGACTGAAGGTGTATAACCTTGCGCTGTTTTGTTCTTTTTATTCATAGCTTGTCAAAGACACTGTTTGTCTATACCATAACTACATATACTATATATTCTCCGTCCATCCATTATGGTGCTTCTAAATTATCAAAATTCATTATTTAAGTCTACTTGGATAGCGGTGCAGGTTATAGTTACCACGATGGTTTAGCGGGCAGAGGTGCTATAGTGTAGTGGTTATCACTCAGGATTTTGAAGCCTTCCTAGGTTATAAATCTTCCTGAAACCCAGGTTCGAACCCTGGTAGCACCTGACATAATTTGGGAGAGGATACTTTTTTTTCCAATTTTATTATGTCCTTCAAAGTAACTGATTACGATTTTAATTGAGGAAAGCGGGTTTATTGAGAAGCGTTTAACTTGTATCGTAGTGTAATGGTTATTTAGCGAGAATCCCATGAGATCGACATTTTCCTAGTTGCTTTCTCTACTTCGTCCAACTCCAACAATCGATAGAAGTCTGCCACAAGGTAAAGACTACCAGCAAGTACAACGAGACCCAGCCCCAAAGTATCCGTCGACGACGTCAGGCGATCTTGCCTTAAAGCAACCCATTTGAGTACATCCTCTAAGGCCATTGGTTTCGCCGATGGTGGTAAAGTTGGTTGACTCGATAAGGAAAACGGAGGTGAGGATACTACATAGGAAGCCAGAGGAATCGAAGCAGGTGGAACGTATATGTCGGCGTTGGGTACCAGCTTTCGAACGACTTCTTCTAACTCTGAAGGCGGAACTGACTTGACCCACGGCATCCCTTCTGGAGGCGTAAACTGAAGAAGAGCAACCGATGTGTTCACCGTGATTGGAATCGGCGATGACGCTAGAGATTCAGGGAGCTTTGGTGGGAGGACTGGAGATAAAGTCTGCAAAGGTGTTTTGGGAGGTGAGTGGGAAAGGGCAAGAACGTATGTGATATCCAACGTTATGGACTTCTTGACCGTTTGCGACGCAATGGCGCTTGATGCCGATTCGAGGGCAAGAGACAACATATGGTTGATATATTCGCTCAGTGTTTCCGCTGAGGCTGCGTTGTGTGCCCCATCCGCAAGTACGACGAGCGGGTGTTTGGTCTGCCTCATAGCAGCAGGGAGACTCGGCGTTCCATCTTCAGGTGCTTTTCGGGAGGTGGCAGGGATTGAAACATGCAGAGTGTGGAACGAGAGGCGACCTGGCCATCGAACGGCCCTGATACCTCGCGCGATGGTCTGTGGTGTAATACGGGAAGTTAGATCGATAGATAAAGTGGGTGGTGGCGGAGAATTGAGAAGCTCGTTAATGACAGATAAGGCCGTCCCGAGATTGTCAAGCTGATGGCTCCCATAGAGCGGCAACAAAGCGTTAACAGGAGCCGAGAAATATGGCATAACAACCGAGACAGGCTGCGAAGGTGGCCTACTGAACGATGACTTGGTGGCGTTGGTATAAGCCAGTGAAATCGGTGGAGGTTTGGCTCCATGAATTGATTCGTCCCACTCGCTAACTTCTGGTTCGAGAGCCAAGGCCAAATTTAAGGCACCAGCGGCCTTCAGAACTGTTCTCACTACCTCTTCCACACCTTCTCGTCTCTGCTTTCCCAAAACAAACGGACGACCTTTCCTGCCTATTGCTGCTTTTTCTGCAGCAATCTTTGTCACAGTGTCTCCAAGGAAGAATTGATGGTCGAGATCAACAGCCGTCAATGCAGAGACTGCGATCGTATTATCAGGCACGATGTTCGTAGCATCCAAGCGCCCGCCCATCCCAACTTCGAGCACCACGATATCGACTTTCTCTCTCTCGAAGACCTGCAAAGCAACGAGAGTAAGAATCTCAAAGCTGCTCAGCTTGGTTTCGTGTTCTGTGTCAGCATCCTCCACTTCTTCACGGACCACCTCGTACAGGTTTGGTGCAACAGGATGGTTATTGACAGTGATACAGTCGTGAACGGTGACGAGATGAGGGCTGTTGAACCTTCCAACTCGTAGAGGTGGGTCTGAATGGAGCAAAATTGACGCAAGCAAAGCAGAGACACTGCCTTTTCCATTCGTCCCTGCAATATGAAGAGTCGGACGAGTATAAGGAGATAAGTGGGTTACAAGCTTTTGGAGCCTATCCAAGCTGAGATCGATAGACATAGTCGTGGTTGTGGATAAAAGTCGAAATGTTTATCTGAGTTTTCGAACTCTAATCTTGGTTCATAATCTTTGATCACATCGCCAAAGGTAGACGAACATATTGTTGTCCATTTCACTCCAAAGCGGGCTCAAAGGGACATAAAATCCATCTAGTCAGAGCTCTTCGCACGTAATATTTAAGTACTTTGGTGGCTCAAAACCACCTACACCCAACCATACGTTCCGAGATAGGGGCTTTGGGAACTCAGGTTCACGTGGTCGCGGATCTCTTTTACTCCAGTCAGACTACCTTTCCCTCGAACGCTCAGGACGAATTCCGAGGGCGTACTCTACCACTTTACTCACTCTAAATGTCGCGTGGATTTGGCAGAGGTGGTCGAGGCGGCAGAGGTGGCGGAAGAGGAGGGTTTGGAGGAGCAAATAACCCACCTCCAATGGGCCTGTCTTTTACAGACCTGCAAAATCTTTCACGGGAGGCTACTGCGCTATATCCAGTGAGCTCACGTTTCTGTCGCATTACTTATGTTCAGCTGATTATTGAAGATATGACTCGAATAGCCAACCAATCTTCCTGTTTTCTCTGAGCCTTCGAGTAATGAGGCTAAAATTGCAGAGCTCCAGCTATCCTACGCTGCGCGTCTGCGAAGATCGCCCTACTACGTTATTGAAAGAACTAAGACTACTGGTACGTCTTGATAGTCCAAAATTGCAAACTTGGGCTCATATTACTTTAGAGCTCGAGCGATACTCTGACAAGTATCGGCCATCGGTCGCTTCGCAACCCACCTTAAAGCGCAAAGATCTACATGAGCCTTTCTTCCCGAAAGAAATACTAGAGGACTACTTCAACCCCAAAAGGAAGAAGAAGTGTGCGTACTCTCGTCTTTGTTTCGTGTTTCAAGTATTGATCGATTCTTCAGCCACTACACAAGCCAAAGCCGGCAAAGCCAAGCTCAACCTTGACGAGTTAGCTGAAGACGCCGACGACCCAGTCCGTTCTTTGGCATTATTCACTATTTACGCAGCACTGACAAACGACATAGGAAAAATCATCTGAAGAGCGATCTGACGCTGGCTCGCAAGTTGGTCAGGAATCGGACTACGACGTCGATGAGGAGTATGACAACGACTACGCAGAAAATTACTTTGACAATGGTGAAGGAGAAGACATGGACGATGTCGGAGGTGGCGGAGGTGGTGATGAAGGCGGTGGTACGTTTTCCTTTCGCAATGACTTACCATGGTACAGGCATTGATAATTTCCGCAGGAGGAGATTATGATTGAGTAGGGCAATGGGGATCCAAGACTCAACACTTCATATTTCTCGTCCCACTAGCTTTCAACATCCTCCTCATGCGATAACGCTGTTTCCTCTCATTTTAGCTTTCACTTGTGCTTATATGTCTGATACGTCGTATCAATAGACCAAGATGGGGCAGTTTGTGACGAATATTGATGCCACAGTCGTGGAAGGATGCCCCCCAAACGTTTTCATATCTGGATCCATGGAAGGGTAGAATGTCCGACTTGGATTCCAAAATAATACACGAGACCATGTTGTCCAACCTTTTCTGACCTTATGAAAAAACTCGCATCTTCAGAAAGAAGAACGGACGCGTTGGCTCATAATCTAGGTCGCGCGTCCCGAAAATTTTGAGTTCGGGCGTGATACAGATGGGATTCAAAATGCTTGTTAACTGCACTGACTATGCAATATTTACTTTGTCTTTTGTTCGCTCCATAGCTACGAGAAAGGCATTTGAAATTCACAAGAGCGTGATATTGAGAGTAATTGTACGTACGATTATAGTGCAGCAACTTTTCGATCAGGTCGACATGGGTCAGGACCATACGCCGACAACAATATCGTTTTAGCTGAAGCTCATCCAGCGCATCACTATCGCTCAAAAGTGTCAAAAATACGGCATATAGAGCATATTGAGGTATGCGTACCCTTCACTCATGTCCCTTGCCAAAAGATCCAGGTAGGTGTTCCATTTGTCGCCGATGACTTTCCCGCATGTAAAGCATCTCACAGGAATAATCTAAGAAGATTTGAGCGTCCCGAGATAATACATGCTTTCTTTGACCTACCATTTTGGTAACCTTGAAAAACGGCTGAGAGAGGTGGTGGTGGCGGACGAAAGTGAGTCACGCCTTGATGTCACACAACAACTCTCTTAATACCATCGCACGGGCCAAAGCCTGGCATCGAGATGTATGAAAACCGAATCAAAGAGAAACTAAATTAGAACTAGAGAAGGCATGTAACAGGGTATATCTACTTAAAATCCCTCTAAAAATTGCACAATGTAAAACACCAGAGTGTAAAGCTCAATCACCAAGAAGTTAAACAACCTCGAATGCAGATCCACCAGCCTTCTTATCAAATTCAACCACTTCGTTGAGACCAACGACTTCGAAGAATGCTTTAGGGTCCATTCCCTTGGCTGAGCTGAAATCAGTACCAGTCTTTTTCAGAGATCGCATGGCTTCGCGAACGGCATGGGTCATGGCTACACATGAGACAAGAGAAAAGACTAAAACCAAACCGTCAGCGCCATTTTTCAAAAAGAAGAATTCGAAGAAACTCACTGATGACCTTTGCACCCATCTTTTCCGCCTCATGATAAGTGAACGATGGTGTCAAACCACCGGAGATGACATTAACTAACACAGGCTTCGGTGCCAGCGCAGCGACGGTATCCTTCAGAAGCTCCGCAGTCTTGACACCTTCAATGAAGCAGACATCTGCACCAGCATCAGCGGCCAACCTCAGCCTGGTAAGCGCCTCCTCCATGCCCAAAACCTGCGCAGAATCGGTTCGACCAATGATGACAAAATCGGATCCTCCTGGGATGGCGTCGCGAGCGATAACGGCAGCTCGAATGCGAGTGAGGAATTCTTCACGAGACACGACTTGCTTGCCCATGAGATGGCCGCATCGTTTCGTCTGGACTTGGTCTTCAATGTGGAGACCTGCGACACCAGCTCTGGCATACTGAGTGACGGTACGAGCAACGTTGATTGGGCCACCAAAGCTGTTCAAAATCTATTAGCGGCAGGGATTGGAAAGAGAGAGAGAAAGCATCTAACCCAGTGTCAGCATCGGCAATAACAGGTACGGAAGGGTTGATA